ACTTAAATGCTAATTGGCGCGTTTAAATCAGTTGATAACAAAAAATTTGGTAATGCTGCATTAAGACGGTAACTGAGGGGCTATTTATTGACCCTACGAGTTATACAAAATAACAATGAGCGACAAAATGGCCCCACATGAGATTTCTACTAAGGAGAAAATATGGCAGTCAAATTTGTTTTAATCACAAATTGACTTGCCTCAGTTAATATGGCATATAAAAGGAATGGTGATATAACTATTAAATTTATGGCACATTGTCATTTTTTATTAAATTTGATGATTTTCATATAATAAAATTCTATTAAATACAACAATCTCATATTGTATTCTAATACGTAATTGTAAATAAAGTTGATTTTAATCTTTAATRTGTGTATTTTGTAATGATTGATGTTATAATAAGGTTTGCGATCCCATACCCAAAATAAGTAATGGCTGTTATATTGACATATTGTATATGTATATAACATCTTACCGAAAATAGTGGAACAGATGTTTAATGAGGGAAACGAAGTTTTACTTCTAATTCCATGAAATTAATATTWGCATAGAMRTTCATCATTAAAGAATTTTTCAAATATTCATTTAATCGAATGTTTTATGTCACTAATTCCTAAAGACCATCTAATTTTAGAATCTGAAAAAACAAAATTATAATGCATCATTAATAATCATCGTTAATACTTATAACAAAAGAACTGAAAAGTTAATTACCCAAAAATGAACACAACTAAATACTACAATAGCTTTATGATAACTGGGTTGAAACTTTATGAAAAAATACCCATTTCTATAAAAAACTATCCAAACTTTGATACCTTTAAATTATTAATTATGAAATGGTTATTGACAAATGGAGTAAATCCTTAGGTTAACTCATAAAGCACATAATATTATTTTTAATTTTATCTTTATTTTTGCTCTTCTTATTCATTTATGTAATATACAAAATCTTCTGAAAAACTAACGATTGTTATTTATATATAGATAGGCAACTTCAAGGTACCTATTGTTATTATTATTTTTTCATTTATTTTAATTAATTAATATTATCTATTTAATCATTTTAATTATATTCTTCTAGAGACTTACGTCTATCAACACA